AAGTATCCTGAATAATGAATGTTCCAGCAAATCCTGCTAGGGTAACACGTAACACTATCACAGAAATGTTATCACTGAAGGAAATAAAGAATAATAGGAATTACATGCTTTTACTTCAGTCTTCTGGTTCCATGATCTGCCCACCAAAAAATGACTACTATCCAATATAATTTTTCATGGTATCAAAGTTCTCTGAAAACTAATGCTTTCTAATTATATATAAATTGTTTCAAATTATTGTAAATATTTGATTATTTAGAATTTTACTTATAAAGACATAACTTTATAATATTTTACAAAAAGAACTAGTAGAGATTATTATTTGTCTTTTGTTGATCATCCTTTAGCTGCTATGAAACACAGTGTACATAGGTTTCAGAAACCACATATCTTAGAAACAGCAGGCAAACAAACATTGGATTCATGTGACTGAAATTAGAGAATATGCCAAACGTATAACTTTGATATGCATAGTGAGTAGGAAGCAAATAGAATAGTATGTTTTCAATGTATAAAATGCAAATAAGCTATTCAGAAAGATAAGTTTGTAAATGCAAGCATTTTATTAAATATTGGAAGGAATGTAATTCTAACTTCATATGTATCTGCACTAAAAATTACAGCTTTAGCTTTCTACTGTAAGTTGATTGTTCAAGGAAAAAGCAAGTAGTCCCTTATATTAGTAATTAGCATCTATCTATAAGGTAAATTCAAAAATGTCACTTTCCATTAAAAAGCAGCTACAAAAACTATTAGATGTTTTAGGAAAGGAGCCAGAAGCTTTTTAAAGCATGAAGAAATGCCCAGACATTCATGTAGGTAACTTATAATTAAGTAGAGTTTTCCTGGTTTGTTCTTACACCACCAGCACCACCACTGTCATTTTCATAATCAAATACTTACTTGTAATATTTTATAGCATTTTAAAGCAAGTTTAAAGGGCCCAGGAAGGGTCCTAGTTAATAAAATGGAAAAAACAATACTACTGATAATTTTCTTCTTGTCTGTATATCTGGATTTTTCTTGCTAGAAAACATTTTGCTTTCCTGAAGGCAATAGGCAACACTGGATAAAACTAAACTACATAACTTCTCCAAATCAGTTCAGGATATTGGTATAAATTCATATTGTTAGATACAATGTAAAGATACTAGAACAATTTTTATTTTTGTCTAATTCTCTTTCTTTCTAAATCATTTCTCTGTTTTCAAGATTAGATTTGGCTGCAAATATTCAAGTCTTCTTATTCTTTTCATACTCTCAAAAATATATGCCATGGATAAAGGGACTATTTCAAATTACTGGTTTAACAGAATTAAACTGAAAAAAAACTGTCAATAAATGACATCATAGACAAAATTATCAAATGTTTGACAAACTGATAAAAAATAATTGTAATTAGCAAAGATTTAACATCTAGGAGATAAAGAATTTGCAAGTCCATAAGAAAAACTGTGAGAAGAACAACTGAAACAACTGGGAAATAAAGAAAGTCAAATCTGAATTAGCAAGTGTATAAAGAAATCACCAACAATTAACTCTGAACAAATGGGCAAAAAATTGTATGTAAGCCAGCTATTAATGAAATTTAGATAAGTATATTCTTTATGTATTTTATGTGAGTGTATACTGGTACATTGTAGAGAGAAATCTGGGCATACTTACCTTAAATAAATATGATCCAGTAATCTCTTCCAGGGATACATCCCAAAGGAACTCAAGGCTAGGTTCAGAAGGGGACAGGCACAAAGATGCTCATTGTGGCAGCAAGATAGTTGCAAGAGGCAACTCTTTAGTAAAATACATGTATGCATAGAGTAAAATATTACCCAGCACTAGTAAACAGCAAACTAGCATTGCATACAGTAACATGAGTGTATTTCTGGATGAGTGGTAAAAATTAAAATTAAAAGTTAAAATATAAAGATTACAAGTAGAGTGAAACCCATAGTATGTTACCTAGACAAATTAATAACAAGCATATACAAAATAGTTCTGTATTTATTTCAAGTAATAATATATATCCAAAGGTATCTGAGAGTTTAGGGCAATAGAATGGTTCCCCACAGTGAAAATGCTGGCAAAGAGAGGTAAAATGGAGAATGAGTGGCAAGATGACATCTTTAAAATACATTTTTTGCATGGACAACTGAATTACATAGGTGTATGATATGCAAACAGTGGTATGTACGTAGAAAGAAAGAAAGTCAACAAGTATCTTACTAGGTCTTCCGGTGCAATTAAAAATCTATTTGGAATTGTAGTGACAAGTGAGAGATAAAATCATAATAGAACATTGAAAAATTATTGTTCAATCAGGTGTGAGAGTGGGGGTTTTTGAGGTTCCTTCAACAATTGAGAGTATCTTTTGTAACTAGATAATAAAAACAGAATAATCTATATCACACTGTGAATAGATAAGCTCTCCAGTGGCAGAAGAAAGTTTGCTTGAGGTTTCTCTTTCTGTTTTACTATTTTTTTCCTTTTCTTCTTATTTTTAGGACATTTTTCTTTCAACAGATTTCTGCTTTTAACAGTCACTCAATCTATTTTTGCTTTATGATTGTCCTAGGCCATAGTGAATTATCACTTGTTTATCCCTGAACACCAAAGGAATTTTTATTTTATTTCAATCTAAAAAATAAAACCACTAAAAACCACCTCAAAATTTCTTCCTCAGTCTAGAACATTGCTCAAGAGTCTCTTTTCTCAAATTTTAAGCCCAATATATTTGCTTTTTTACAGAGGAAATTTGTTATTATCAACTAATAATATCACTTGCCAACTGAAATAAATTATACACAGATAGAAGATAGAACTTAATTGTAGGAGAGAAGAGAGTTTCATTCATTTTGGTACATGACTGATGATGAAATAAACAGGAGGCATAGAAGGGAATTAAATACTTGCTGAAAAGTAGAACACATTAGACAAAAGTTGTCAGAGAAAAGCACCAAGTAAAATAACTCACAAGCTAGTCATTTAGGAAACAAAAAAAGGTATGAAAGCTGACTCTCTCTACTCAGGAGTCTGTTCTGGTACCTGCAGAAGGCAAAGAGGCTGTGGCATATAAGTGTTGTGAGCCTAATACCTGTACAGCACAAAAATGAACATGATTTAGAGTATTAAGATTCCTATGCCTACCTAAACACATATTAAACAAAATACCTGAACATTTGAGTTTACATATAAGGCAGCAGGAAGACAAAACAAGGGAATAAGAAGCACATTAGACACAGCAATTTAAAAGCAAACTATCATTAACTAATGGAATAAATGTTGGCAAAAATAAAATATGAGACATCTACAATATTAATATTTTAATTCCAAAAATGAGAAATGTAGAATCTACTTTGTAGAATGATTTTGAAAACTGCATAACTGAATTTTTATGAACAAGACCTAAACATGTCTAATATAATGAAGTCTTCATTGCTTCATCATTACTGTTGTTACTATAGATTTTATGTATAGTAAGGTGTCTTAATTTCAGTTCAAGAATTGTAATTTGCAGAGTTAATGGCTTCTTTTTTATATTTTCTGCATTATATGCTTTTTTCTCCATAATGTTCTTTTTGGAAGCTTTTTTTTGTTATTGTTTTTCTTCATGTATTTTTATTATTATAAACAGGAGTTTATAGTCATATGTTTTATATATAGTTATATGTCAGATAAAGAGTACATTTCTTTTGGAACAATGTCAAGAGTTTCTTCTAACTAACTATATATACATATAAATGTATATATATATATATATATATATATATATATATATGCTGTCTTATCTCTAAAGAGGTAAAAGGAAATTCTATATATTCAGCCCAGGTTAGTGATGTCATCTATACAACTATCAGCTAGCCAGTGAGGCTTAAGAACTCAGCAGAGCAGAAAAACCACAGTAAAACAAGGGAAAGGATAGAAAGAGGCAATTATTCAGACAAGGATGACGTTTTCTTTACCTCACCCCATACAAGAGATGGACTATATCACAACCAGAAAACAGGCACTTATAGCAACTTTCCAAAGAAAGATAAGACCCCCTCAAGTGTGCTTACTTGTTTAAACAGTACTTTCACTAAAAGTTAGTAGCTTTTGTGATTAAAATGATTTTAAGTAATTTATAATTTTTTTCAATTATATACATTAGTGTGAAAATTAAATTTTGACTCGAGTCAAAGAACAGTACTGCTTTTCCAAGAAACTTAGTTTGGATGAAATGTGTTAGCTTGCTAAGGAAAATGATGAAAATGGCTTGTTTGAAAACGTTTTCACTCTGACTGGAGCCTCCTCTGGTGTTTAGGTCTCCCTCATCAAGCACAGGGGTGCTAGGACTTCCTTAGATAGCAGGCCAGCAGCTGTTTTGGTGGGAGGATGATCATGTCCAGGGTAGGCCAAGATTAGAAGATGGTGAGAGGACCTTGTTTCACTTCTGATTTGGGCCCGGGGTTTTATGCTGAGCAAGTTGTTTCCTGAGCAATCTCAGTTTCACAATCCCAGCTAGAAATAAAACAGAAAAAAAAAAAAAAAAGATTCCCCCCTAGGAAAACAGCTGCAGTTCACCACGGGGCTGCGTGTGAAGACACAGTCAGGAACACACCATGCTAACGTCGGGTGACCGCCGTGGGGTAAGCGCGTGGGGAGGGCATGGGCTCGCTTCACGTCGCCTCAAGGGAATAGACGTACTTGCGTTCACTCGTTAAAGAGGAGTTCCTGAGGTGCTGGAATAGTCTACAAATAGGAGAATGACCCGGCTGGAGGCGAACCAAGGCGCTGCTGGGTAGCAGAATGCAGTCTGAGAGGCTTGGGACTCCCGGCAGGGTGACCGGAACAGCCGCGAACCTGAGGGAGCCGGGTTTACACCGCCAGAGGCTCGGCCGCGCCTCGTAAGCCCCGCCCTTCCACAACCCCGCCTTCTTCTGCTCGGGCCAATAGGAAGCCACGATGTTAGCGGGTGGGAGGCGCGGCCGGGTTGCTACAGCCAGAGCTGGGCGGCGGCGGCGGCGGCGGCGGGCGGAGCGGACTCGCGGATTCGGAGACGGGGGGCGCAATGGAGGGACCGGAAGGTAAGGAAATGAAGGATGCAGGCTTGGGGCCCTGAGCATTCGGGGGTCCCGTATACCGATATTCCGGAGAGGCGAAGGGAGATCCGGAGCGGCGGACCCCTCCTAGGCCTGGGTGGGCTGCAGCCGGACAGCTCCCCACGCCGAGGAGGGGTGACTCCCGCAGCCCCGCCTCAGCCCGGCTCGGGATGGGCTCTCTACCTAGCCCGCGCCCGCGCCAGCCCACACGACCTTTCCTTCTGTTTTCTGATCCTGCCTAACTCCCGCGGTCCCGTAGTTAATCGGTCTCACGGCCAGGTTTTTTGTTTGTTTTGTTTTCCTTCTTCTCCTTAAAAACTGGAGTCTAGGTTGCTGCCCACGGCCTCTCCACTGCCTGTCTTTGCTGGTCCTTCAGGGTGTATCTCCTACCATAAGCCACTTTCCCTTGGCCAGTTGCCTCTGCATAGCTGTTTTCACATTTCTGCAGCATCCTCCATGGGAGAGATGCCAGAGCATCTCCTAAGGAAGTGTCTGTCACTGGCAAGCTGTCCGACCGAGACAATAGGTTTCCAGATGGATTAGATGGTTTATTCACGATGAATTGTGAGGGAGAGCTAGCCTTGGTCCTTCAGCTTTGGGCTTATCCTTGTGTTGTAGCTATGACTCCAGATTTTGCTTTGTTCCCAAATCCTTCACTTTTCCTCCATTCTCTTAACACATTCTGTGCAGGGACTACATTAGTTTAAAAACAAAGGAATGAAGGGGAAATAAAAATAGCATAAGCAAAAGCAGTTTAAAGATTTAAATTGTGGTTTATCCTTCGGATGAAGAACAAGTCTTCAGAATTGAAAGATCTTGTTAGGATGTAACCCCTTTTTTTCTCATTTACTTATATTCAGGTCGATGGAATAAAGAACGAGCCATTGAGCTCTGTGTATTGTTAAATGATGCAGAGTACAATATTTCAGGTTTTGTTTTGAAGTGAAAAGTGATATTTGGTGACTTTTTCAGTGTTCTACACTCACCAGAAAGCGAGTTGGCAATAATGAGAGTTTATTTCATATATTTGCTTTGAGTGAAAGCCTTCATGTTAAGCACCTTGAAAATGACTGATAATTCTGATAATTTGTCAACTTCAGTGTGCTATTTCCTGTGAAATTTAATTTAAGACTACCAGTCTGAAGATTTTACTATTTAACGTTTGTGGTGAAAGCAGGTGTCTTCATCTAGGTTTTCCCTTACATATCCTAAACACTTTTCTATCTTGAGGATGCAACAAAGAATAAAAAAGTCAAAGCTTTAGCCATTTCAGTAGTCTTTTCATTTTAAGTTGTGTTGACATAACTAGTGAAGCTGTACTTAAGAATACATTTAGTAATAGAACCCTATTATACTCAATTACAAGGGTGGAGTATGCATGAATTCTATGTGATAAGGCTGTGGGCATTACGGGCTCCACTGATGTATCATGATAAACAATACCGGATTTTTCATCTGTTTTTAAATAAAACAATATTATCATTAATGGTGTGTTTTGTTGCAATGAATCAGGTTGAAATATATGAAATGGTTCTATTTCTGGAAAACAGTAAACATTCGAATATTGGTAATTGTATATGGTACAGACTAATAAAAGTTTTTGAGAATTTTATGTTGAATGAAGAATAGAGATTTTCTTCCCCCAGGCCCTTCCTGTTCCCCTTATTCATTTTTAAAAATAAATTATTTCATCACATTTGGCAAAGATCAAAACTTTAAATCTTTTTTTTATTGTGAAAATACTGTACAGAGGGGTTACAATTACATGGGCAAGATAATGAGTACATTTCTTATCAAGCATTGTAGCCTCCTCCTTTGTTTCCCCTTCCCATCCCATCCTCCCTCCACCCCCCCAACCCCTTTCCCCCCCCAACCAAAGTTGTGAAGTTTGTTTTCGACCTAATGACTTGTACATCTCATTGTTGCAGTAGGCCCACCTGTATCCCTATTTAAACGATTTTTTTCCCTTCCCCTCCACAAATTATAACAACATCAGATACAGTGAAAGCAGGGGTTATACCATGGGGGAGGGACATACAAAGCATCAAAGAAATCATCTTAGAATTCTATGCCTCCATCAGAAAACTTTGAATCTTGAAGTTGCTATTTATTAATTCATTCACCCATGTCTTCAGATAATAAACATTCATACAGTGATAGTTTCTTTTCTATGTTGGAAGTTTCCATCTAATATTTTGAAGGTGTGGGGTTACCTTACGTTTCAATATCTAGTATGAAATTTTGAAGTTTGCTCAATGTGTAATAGTAGTTGAGTAAATATTGTGCTCTGTGTAATTAGTCTTGCATTTCTGTTTGAAACCAGTTACCAAGTTCTGGCTTTACAAGCTTCTGTGAAGACAGAACTATGGATTCTTGAAAAGCTCTACTGATGATAATCTTATTCTCTTCTTTATGAGGTTATTATTTGTATGTTAATCATATAAATTATTTTCGATCTTATGGGACTTATAATTCCTGGATTTTCAAAGGTATAAGCATTTATACTGAACAATTTAATTTGAAGCCAAGTGTAAATCATTGCTTACAATTGTGTAATTAATAAAAGTATGGTTTGAATAATTAAAGATTTCCCTTTTCACCTAAATGTCATACAGATGTATCCAAAGACAACAGAAGTAGTTTTAGACCTGAATTATAAGCTTTTCGAGAGGTATTATAGAATTAAGAGGTGATAAACATTTTTTAAGATTTCTCCATATTTAGTACTTCATTGCCTTCATAATATCCTAAAAATTAGTTACAACAATGATAAACATCAGCTGCCTGTTTCTCTTTTGGGCTTCTAAAATTACTAGATCTTAATATTGTCTTCTGAAACTTGATTAGGAGTGGAATTGCTATTTTCCAGTGTAGCATTGCCTGCCTTAAAGGCAGGCGATATGTCTCATTAATGTTTCTACTATGTTTTTCTATAGCATAACTGTAAACTAGTTCATTAAATAATTTTTCTAGCATTGTTGTTTTGGGGGGATGATACTGATTAGATGGTAGATTTTTTTTATAGTCAATGCATTGGAAAGGCTTGTATTTTAATTTGTGTTTTGTTTCATTTTTGCTATATGATTTGGGCAGTTATTGAATAATGTCTTAACTTAGATAACATACACTGAAAATTTAGCTGAATGTCTAATGCATTAAACCCCACGTTTATTAGGTTTATTGGGTGAACCCATAGGAGGCATAATACTTGAAACAGTCCAGGATAGATAAACAGAGCACATGGTCTATACAGAGCCCTAAATAATCTGAAAAGGGAGAAATTGGGACTACATACACATATACAAACATACATACATACATACACACACACACACACACACATATATATATGTATATAACATCTATATATATGTATATAAAATAGGCATTGGAACTAAGGCAAAGATGGGGAAATTGAAAGGAAGGACAGGTTTAGAAGTTACTTCTCTTTTAAGAGGAAGAAAAGTTTGACTGATCGAGTAATAAGTTTGGCTTTAGAAGTGTGTTTATAGAATACTTGGAGTATCTGGTGGAAAAGTCTCAGAAAAAAAGTCTCATGGAACTGTAGACATAGACATTTTAGTAATTATCAACATATATGACAACAAATGAGTGTAATCACTAAAGCAAACTGTTTAGCATAAAAGAAAAGTTACTTAGGAGAATCTAATGTTTTAGGATTTAGTAGTATCTCATATTTAAACATAGATAGCCTAAGCACTCATCTTCTCAAATCCTGCTTCATTTGTGAAACCTAGACAACTTGTGTATAAAATAAATACAGTAGAAGTCAGAAGAACAAGGATTTTAAAAGTTGAAGGAAGTTATCAATGGTTTCTCATGTTATGGAAAGGTCCTATAAAATAATCTAAGAGAAGGCTTCAAATTTGGCAATTATGATAGTGAACAGTCATCTCTATTTCACAAAATTGTTTATCTCTATTTTAGCACATTTCCTGATCTACTTCGCAAAGATATTGTTATGATCTTCTCTTTTACCCTATTCTTTTCTTTATTCATTGTGTTTTTCGGTACTTGACATTTTATGTTTTCTAAACACGTGACCATGAAGCGAAGGACTTGAAGATGATTAGTGAGAAAAAAGAAAGCACTAATCATGTTCAGATTGGTAATGAAAGAAATTCAACCAAGAACTGACTTCCAGTGGTATTCCTATGTCTGTGGGTTATACTGTCCAAGACCTTTAATGGATGCCTGAAGCCATTGACAGTATTGAACCCTTTATGCACTATTATCTTTCCATATACATAAATATATATGTACACATATATGTGTACATATATGTGTACATATGTATATATATAATTATAAGGAAGTTTCACTTATATGCACAATAAGAGATTGACAACAATAATAAAATATAGCAGTTGTGATCATTGTAATAAGAGTTATGAGAATGGAGTCTTTTTTGAAAGTCAAGACAAGTACTTGTATTTTTAGCTACAGTTGACCATCAATAAATTAAACTACATAAATCAAAAGTGTGGGTGTGAGAGAGAACTGAATCTTTCTTTTTTTTTTTTTGCAGGATGAAGGTATTAACTTAGAACCTGGTGCTTGATAGTTTAGCTCTCTACTGCTTAAGCCTCCAGTCTGCTTTTTGATGGTTACTTTATTCCCTAGCCTAGCCTTGAACCTCTATTTTCTAGATTTTAGCCTATTGAATAGCAAGGATTTACAAATGCAAATCTTTAAGAGTCCAGAGGGGGACTTTTTAAAGCTGTTTTGGCTGAGGCTATTGTTTTGAACTAGAGTGCAAGTAAAAAGAGGGTGAAGTTAGGTGTTGTAACTTATCCAATGAAATCTTGTTAAGTTAGTTGAAAAGAAAAAACATCCTTGATATTTTCAAAATTGATATCAACAAGATTTTGTAAAAGGTCTTGGGAAGAAAGTAGTATTGTGAATGATATGTACTTCAAAAGAGAATTTTGTTGAGTTATGTAAAGGTTAGATTCAGATCAACTGTGGTAGAAGGTAAGGCTAACCAAATAGACATGCTTGCGTTAGGAAGAATTATTCTTGGATTTTAAGATGTCTTTTTTTTGGAGAAGATTCTCTCCTTTTTCCTTAAATATATATATCTTTTAAATGTTTGTTTCATCTATATATACTAGCAAATTCTTTCACATTACCTGTATTGTATAGTAGTATTACACTTATTCATGTTCTGAAATCATAATTATCTACTTACAACAGAATCAAGGACTTATGGTAAGGACAGATTGGCTTCTCCACAGTTCTAGAATGGTAAAATATTTTATTGATGGAATTTTTTTCCATCATATTGTTGTTCCTTTTGCTCGCTGCTACAATGTTACCTTCTTTGAATAAGAACTCTTGGTTATGTTTTTATATGCATCAATATTTGCTAGTTTAGACCCCTTAGGAGAGGTTTGTGAGGTAGATTGAACAGCTATTTCCTCATATAATAGATTTTTTAAAGTAATTTAGCGAACTTCTTTATTTTATAGAAGAGGAATCTAAATTTTAGAAAGGTTTGATTTTTTTTTTAATCTAAAACTCGAGTCTTCAATAAAGATGTTGAGACTTGAAGTTAGATAATGCAAGTCAAATTTCAGTGCTTTTCTCTACTGTATTGTCATACCTTTTAGTGAATATCATTATTACAAAATGTAGATTTTGACAAAATACTTAACTTATTTATTATGTACTGTTGGCTTAAGTTTTTTAGTAGGTCTTCTCATCAACACAAACACAAATACAAGTTATATTTTATGAAATACAGGACTTCTGCTCTATGACCAACTAATACAAGAGGAAATTAGTTTGGATTATCTATTTTAAACAACATAATGATTTTTCAAAAATATTTTTATCTTTTTATTAAGATGATTGTATTTTCTTTAAGCTGTAAATCCCAGGGTAAACTGAACTCATGATCTTTCTGCTTCACCCTCCAGAGTTCTGTGATTGCAGGAGTGATTAATATCTTACTTTTCATTTACTTATTCTTTTTGTGACAATGAATTTAAAGAGATTTAAGTCCATTACATGGTTTGTGTGAATTTTGATTCCTATAATTGGATTTTATCACATGCTAATATTTTGCTACTCTTAAGTTGTATGGTTTTTGTTTTTGTTTTTATAAAATGGGAGATGGTTTGAATCTTAGATTGCATATTTAAATCAAATACATTATGGTGGCATTCTGAAAGCAATGATTGTATTGTTTTGTCTTCGTGCCACCATTATTACATGGTATGTGCTTAGCAATGACTAGGTTTTATTTATTTCTTATTATTTTAATATATCAAACTGGCTTTTCTCAACATTTATTTTTAGTACTCTAGATTGATACAGTTCTTCATATATGCCCCATGTGCTCTACCACTGGCTTATTCCTCAATAGCGGTTGCCTCAGTAGTTAGTTTTTATAAGTAGATACTGAAATGTACTTTGAAGCAAGTAAAGCATGCAATACTTTTAAACATTATGTTTGACAGAGTTTTAAATCACTGCTTAGTATTTAAAGTATTACATAAAAACTGTAAGCAAGTCTAATGGCTTATTCAGCATGTGGTTTCACTTGGACCATCTTTTTAAAAGCATTCTTAGTGAATTTAATGGATTCCACATGGCAAGTACTTCACCTTTCTGAATTGTTGGTGAAGTTATGTGATCCTTATAAATGAGACTTCTCTCCTTAAGTAACCTATCTCCTGATATTAGAGAAGGACAAATCAGGCATATCTTAGCTTTGCCATTGTAATGTCCACTGTTAAAGTGCCACTGTACAGACATTGCCTCCCGTTTGGGATCACAAATAGCCACTATTTGCTAGTAAATAGGGCACTGGAGTACTAGAACAGTAAGGGGGAAAAAAAGTTCTTCTGTTACTATATTTGAATATATTCTCTAATGTCTATTTTGGTACACTTGATTAGTTTTCTGCAAGCTCAACAGATGCTATATAATGTACATTATGGAATCCAAAAAAATCCATTTTCCATGAGTTAATGTTACTTCTAAAAGAAAATGTTTTTCTATTTGTCTTTCATATAGTAAAAGAATTTGAACCACAGTAAATTAATCAAAGTATGGGAAAATATTACAAGTTTACAAATTACTTTTGGAAATTAAAATATGAAAATAAATTTAGATTTGATATTTACCTAGTAAATAAAATGATAGATTGATTCAGTTCAGTCCTGAGAAATGTAGGTTTCTATTGCATTTGTAGTAGTTGTTATATCCAGACGTATCAGATGAATATATCAAGTTTAACTGAATACCTCAATTTCCTGGTTCACTGAATCTTAATACCATATATACGTAACAGAGTAAACATGGATGTATGTAGTTAAGATAACTAAGTGCTTTTGAGAGTCTTATGCTTTCTATTATCTGATAACAAACAGTGCAAGATTTTTTTTTCTAGATTCTCTATGTCATCACAGGAGGTTACTTAACCAACGATAATTCTTTAGAGCTATTAGGATATATGTGTGTTCTAAAGTATAGTGATTTACAACAGAGATAGGTTATAAGAGACATGATTACATTATCGGTTACATCATTACAAGAAACCTAGATATTTCCAACTATATCAGTTTATATATTATGGCCATGTTGATCACAGGTAACTTGAAGCATTCAATAATTTTGCTTATGTTAATATGAAACAAAGTGCTTTTTGTAAGAACTGACAACTCATCTATGAAGCTAACAAAAAATGTAAAAGATTGAGTTTACAATTTGATCTATAGAAATTATTTATTGTTTTCTGTTTCAGATAATGGAAGTGTTGTCCAAGTTGGAGAATTACTGCCTTGCAAGATTTGTGGAAGAACATTTTTTCCAGTGGCATTAGTTAGTAGACTGATTCTGTGCCTTTTCCCTTCTGGATTTAATGTGATTATTAGTACTCTAGAACAGCTCTTATGGGAAGAACTTAATATGGAATAATGGTTGAATGGTTACTACATAATATTCTTGTTCAAGAGTCTCAGTTTTATCTACATCATTTTTCCACAATGTTCTTTTTAAGAGTTTTACTGGTCTTCTGAACTCCTCCATTTAAGTATTAAATTCTTTGTAGTAAAGGGGAAAATATTACCAGAAACAAACACACTCTGATAAAAACAAACAAAACACCTCTTAAGTACACATAACAATAGATTTACAGATACAAAATGAGATGATACCTAGGATGTGCTTTCAAGTCATGCAGAGGAAAAAAAGTAGAGAACAATGATTAAAATGCTTTTAATTGTTGGGTAGGATGATAAGTAAATGGGAGTTCATTATACTATTTTCAAGTGTAAAAAAAATCTAAAGAAAAATGTTTCTTTCTATTAAAAAAAGGTAAAATATGTTACTTTTAGATATTTGTAACTGTTTACCTACAAATAAAAGACTTTAATTGATCTTAATTAAAAGTAGCCATTCAAATAATGAGTAATAAAAATTATGCTTTTGTGCCAAGCATCAATGGCTTATGCCTGCAATCCTAGCTGTTAAGGAACATAGTATATATTTATAGGTGCATTAGCATATTTTTAAAATTTAAACATAAATTATTCAAAATTTATACATTTATTGAGATGATTTATTAGTATTGTTAATAAGCAATGTTGGGGTTTTTTTTTTGGTCTGGTCGTGGGGCCTGAACTCTGGGCCTGGGCACTGTCCCTCAGCTCTTCAGCTCAAGGCTAGCGCTCTACCATTTGAGCCACAGCACCACTTCCGACTTTTTTATTTTTTTGCTTATGTGGTGCTGAGGAATCGAACCCAGGGCCTCAGGCATGCAAGGCAAGCACTCTACCACTGAGCCACCTTCCCAGTCCTAAGCAATGTTTTAATAAATGGATCTGCTCATTAGTGTTCTGGCTCCACTTATATTCTACTCTAAATTATTTTTAACTAAGTTTTGTTAAAGTAAAACTTGTACTACAACTATTTCCAGAAAATAAAAAAAATAAATTAAAAAATGAAAGTTCTGAGACCAGAAGCTCACCCCTGTGATCCTAATTACTCAAGAAACTTTGATCTGAGGATTATGGTTTGAAGCCAACCTTAACTACTAAAAATTCAGAGTGGAACTGTGGCTCAAGTGGTAATGTACTAGCCTTGAGCAAAATAGCTCATGGACAGTGCCCAGGTCATGAGTTCAAAGTCATGAGTTCAACCTTCCCCCTCTTAACAAAGAATGATAAAAGAGAGGAATTAGTGATCAAAAAGGTTCTTAACAACAGATACCTCTGCCAGCCTTTTTGTAATACTTTAGAAACATCATTCCAACATGTTTTTTTAAAAAAATACTTTATTGTAAAAATACTGTATAGAGGGGTTACAGTTACAGTTACATGAGTAAGGTAATGAGTACATTACCTATTGAGCATTGTTGCCTCCTCCTTTGTTTTTCCCCTACCATCCTTTCCTTCCCCACCTCCCCATCTATCCCCACCCCCTCCTCAAGTTGTAAAATTCGTTTTCAATGTAGTTACATTGTTACAATGGGTCAACCTGTATCACTATTTAAGCATTTGGTTTCTTCCCTCCCCTCCCCAAATTAGAAAAGTGAAGTATATATACAAGATACAGAGCACCGGAATCAAATATAGTGAAAATGAGTTAAACCATTGGGGAAACACACACAAAAGAAATTTAAAAAATCACATAGTGTACAGTATAAGTACATTAAGAAGAACAGCGACAAAGATAAAACCTCTTGTGTTCCTGTATTGGGGTTTATTTCACATAATATCATCATCTTATATGGTCAAATGTATATAGCTTTTGACCTTTTCTGCTTGTCCCAGACATATACTAGTTATTGTACATAAGGAAAACCATGGGGCCTATGTTTCTTTGGGCCTGGCTTACTTAATATAATTTTTTCCAATTCTTTCCATTTCCTAACAAATGGGGTGATGTCATTCTTTCTGATGGAGGCAAAAAATTCCATTGTAGGGTCTGGGAAGGTGGCTTAGTGGTAGAATGCTTGCCTTGAATTCATAAGGCCCTGGGTTCAATTCCTCAGCACCACATAAGCAGAAAAATCTGGAAGTGGCGCTGTGGCTCAAGTGGTAGAGTGCTAGCCTTGAGCTAAAGAGCTGAGGGACAGTGCCCAGGCCCAGAGTTCAAGCCCCACGACCACCAAAAAAAAAAAATACATTTTATACATATATATTATATACACCACATTTTCTTGATCCATTCATCTACTGAGGGGCATATGGGTTGGTTCCATATCTTAGTATAGTAAGTAATGCTACCATAAGCATAGTTGTGCTGGTAATTTTAGTATATCCTTGTTTGTGGTCGTTTGGGTAAATGCCCAAAAGTGGGATTGCTGGGTCATAGAGGAGCTCTATGTGTAATCTTTTGAGGAACCTCCATACTGCTTTCCAAAGTAGCCAATACATGTTTGAGTTGTATTTTTTAATCATTTTTCAAAGCTTTCAGCTTAGTTTTTACAAATAAACTTTTATTGTTTAATATCTAAGTAATGTTAATGTAAATATTACACCTTTTACAATGGTTTGGAAATAAAAGCCACCTATTCTTGACATATTACTAAACTCATAAACATGGCATATATATGATAATACTAAATGGTGATCCACTAACTTCATTTTTTATTATTTGAGGTTTTACTCAAATAGCTATAGTTATACTGCTGTGTTTTAAAATGAAACTGGGAAGTATGTATGTCAGTAATTTAGTGTAGTGTATGAGATTTTATGACATTAAGTTAAATCAGGTGTGAGATTTCTTTTATTCACAGAAAAACTTCCAGATGCATGCAAAAGAAAAATGATGCATTTAATTCACAGTCATTAGTCAATATGTTTCATATAATGGAGAATTGTTTTATCTGATTAATTGAACAAACAAGAGAACTTTATATTGTTCTTTGAATGAATAAATGATTAAATGCACAAACACTTTAAAAAAGAAAAACCTATAAGAGTAGAAGACAAAGTGAGAAAATTCTAGGTGAAGGAAAGTAGAAAGTTTGAATTCTTGACGGAGGAAAAGGATAATGTGGAGGAAGGACACAAATCTGGCCACTTTATCCTATTATTTTGTATTCTTTTAATCTATTAATCTTGCATTGCTTTTAGTAATCAAAAGTAGTCCTATTATATTATCTTTGATAGTCCCATGACCAATGCATTCTTCTCCATTTGCATCCTTTTTCTAGTATTGCTGAATAGTATTCAGTGAAGACTTTTTTCACTCAAGTTTTCACTTGCGTACATTATTTTTCTTACTGTTAGTGTGTGAAAATGATAGATACTTAACCCATAATAACATTTTGAAAGATTATTTCCCTATAATTTATTGTAGGCAATTTATTTTACCAAGGAAAAACGAACCTTTTATTTATTTCGGGCTCAGATTTTTTAATTAGACAGATTTTTTTAAACTAGTGTCAAATAGTTTTATAGTCTTGCCTTGTGGAGAAAATAAAATTATATGTTTCATTTCTCCGTTTAACAGAAAAAACATGGACCTATTTGCCAGAAAACAGCCACTAAAAAACGGAAGACCTTTGATTCAAGCAGACAGAGAGCTGAAGGAACTGATATTCCAACAGTAAAACCTCTTAAACCTAGGGTAACTATCTCACTTTTTAAGCAGTATGAACCTTGCTGTTGTAAATATTTTAAAAAATAGATAATTATTCCTTGTGCTAAGATTAAATAATGAGCAAAGTTCTTTTATTTTTTTCAGTTTTTAAACTTTCAAAAACTTAGAAATTCTATTTTTATTTTAAGTTTAAATTGCAAAGGTAAGACTAAAGTTGTGGCTCAAATTCCATCAATTACTTAGAGGTTTGTTTACCATTGGAGAGCTAAAGAGCTGAGAGTCATTTGCTTAGCTGTAGACTGGAACTAATTCAAACAAGTATGTTAAATTATTATTTGGCTTTAATTTTTGCTCTATTACTGTCTTTAACCAATAATATAAAAATCTTAAATATACGAAAAGGAAAACAGCATAAAAGACATTGATGTTTTCTGGAGAAGAGTTTAATCAATTGTTTGGTTACTGTACTGTAGTTGTTTTCTTTTTGTTGTTGTTACTATTAGAAGTAAAGCAGTGAACTTCTTTGATAACCTGTCCTTCTATTTTTATAAATAAATCATTTAAATACTTCATAAGATACAGTTTTAAAGAGTCATTTAGTGAAATGGTCAAAGCTAAGTTTTTAACCAAATCTTTAATCTTACTAATAAAATTATTTAGTAAAATCCTTAAGTGAGTTATGACACATTAAACCTTAACAGTTTTAGATGATTTGAACATAGCCTGTAACTATTGCTTATAATCCAAGGTATTCCAAGGACAGAGATTGGGACTTGCCACCCTAGGACAAAAACTCAAGACCCTTTTGGGAACAATAAAACCAAAACAGTGTAGGCATCTGGCTCAAGTGATAGAGGTCCTGTCTAGCAAGTACCATGCCACTAAGTCAAACCCCAGAATTGCCATAAAATGTACAAACAGGACTGAAGTAGCAGAAGCCAAAAGAGGAAATGGAAAAAGAAGGAACAGAAAATTGAGCAGGCCAAGTAGCAGAGACTCATAGAAACCTTCCTGATGATGAGAGGCCCAATATAAAATTTCATATCCTTTGTTAAAGTGGTTGTGGAACTGAGAGCAAGTAGAGCTAGCCATAGTACCTGGTTAATCTTCTAAAGAAGTAGAAGAGGCAAGCACATATCCCACCGGAAGGCCTTATTTGCATAAAGTAGTCTGATCTAGTCCAACAAAGAAGAGATGCATATAACCTCTGAGCCTCTCTCCCCAAACATTTTTTGCAAGTAACTGTCTCAGGAAAATCTAAGTCATTCAGAAGTGAATGATGAGAAAACTTGTTAGGTCACATTGATACAAAAATGTACTATGAAGAAAAAATAGAAAAGAGCAGCAATACTTGCCAGTAGGCGAGTAATACTTGTTAAGAAATAAATGAATAATGTGATCATAGATTTAGCTATAAAAGAAGAGACTTTTTAAGAATTTTGCTTTTATATCCATGAACTGTAGGTCTGTCATTTTTCTTCTCATAACATTTTGTTGCTCCCATAAATCTAGTTGGAGAATGCCTTGTTTTCATTTTCTGAAAGAGTTTTATGTGGGGGAGGGAAGGTTTTTCATGATAAATACATTTTTTAAAGTGAATATGAGACTTTCTCTCTGATATTTGTTTTGGTGTGTGTGTGTGTGTGTGTGTGTGTGTGTGTGTGTGTGTGTGTATTTGTGTTTTGCAGGATACTGCTAATTTGAGCTTATCATATTTATTAGCAAGAAGTTTCCTTATAGTAACTTATTTATTTTTCTATGTAAACACTTGATTGTGTTTTCATACTTTGGTAAATTTTTATCACATTTTCTTTAGTTTTGACTTGGCATTTTAAAGGAACCATGTTTTGACTTTGTTGATCCATGTAAAGACTGGAGACACACTAAGAACAGTTGAACAGTTCAATAATATAACAAAACAATACATTTTGTGGTATATGAACCAGCATCATATTTAATGTAGATAGAATTACCATGTTATATAAATATTCTATTCTCTGCAAAGGATATGGAGTTAAATGGCTGTGACTTCACTTGGTTACCCATTTTAAAAAGCAAAACTTAGTTGGGTTCATATGACATGTGATATACTTACAAGATATACAATGTAATTACAAATAATAGAAGATTTAAAGTTTTGAAAGTGAATCCATGAAAGTTCAAGAAGGAAATATGGGAAATTTTTATTTTCTCATCATATAAATTTAGGCTCAGATAGCTACCTATAAATTCAGAGACCATAAAAGAAAGTAAATGAAGTTTTAAAGTAATTGTATCAAAGAAGAAGAATCTGTAAGGTTGTTGAAGGAACAGAGGGAATACTGTACTATAATAAAATTATTTGAAGCCGGGAGCCTGTGGTTCATGCCTGTAATTCTAGCTACTCAGGAGGTTGAGATCTGAGAAATCATGGTTCTAAACCTCGACAGGGCAGAAAAGTCCATGAGACTCTGATCTCAAATAAACCACCAGAAAACTGGAAGTGACCCTGTGACTCAAGTGGTAGAGCACCTGCCTTGAGCTCAAGAGCTCAGGGACAGCGCCTAGGCCCATAGTTCAAGCCCCATGACTGACAAAAACAAAAAGTTATTTGAAAATTGTGTCATTTTAGAGATCAAATTCACAAAATGGGCAGCAAAAAATGATTCATAGTGATGTGAAATGCTATTTGTTAAGTCACACTCATAAGAAAAAACAGCTAGTTAGGTTCACAGAGAAAGGATAATTATTTTCCATTTTTTTTGTCAGTTAAAAGCACAACGTTTGGTAATTTTATCAGTGACATGATAGGAAAGGTGAGAAGGACCCTCTTAGTGTAGACACAATGTAACACTTATAGAAGACAATTAGACAGTATCATTCATAATTAGAATTATAGTTTGAAAGTTCCATACAATAATATTGCACACAATTTTTAAAAAATTTAATTTAGCAATGTCATTTACAGATTCTTGTTAAAGAATCTGTGAAAGCAATATAGCACTACATCAAGTTACTATTCAGTTTATTAAAAATATATTTTAAAACTTTTATTTCTTTATTTATAGCCAGAACCACCAAAGAAACCATCTAACTGGAGAAGAAAACATGAAGAATTTATTGCCACCATAAGAGCTGCTAAAGGCCTTGATCAGGCACTTAAAGAGGGTGGCAAACTCCCTCCTCCTCCTCCACCTTCTTATGATCCTGGTACATTATTTGACAGAAAATGATAGAATTCCTATACATTTAAGGCATCTTAAAATTCATTCTATTATAATGAGCCTAATTACACATGCACTTTAAGTGCTTTGGTGTAAAACGTTAGTAATAGTCCAGGCCTCAAATCATTAAGAACATAGAAATGTATTTATTGTCTTTTTGTCACAATCCTTTTACTTAAATGTAAATCATTACATCATTTTAAAATTATAATTACCATTGAATGTTAAAATTTGAGGAAATATAGTCACTCAGTAGAATTCTGATATTTACATTGTTACTTACCAAGTTAACAACATTAAAATTGAATTAGTATTCTATACTTTCGTTTATTTCCCAGTGCCAGAATGATGTTTAACAAATGTTGATGTGATCATTTTTAATATTTTATTGAAAAGCTTACCAGCTAATAGAATAGAAGGCCACATAGTAAATATTTTAGTGTTGACATTCCATAAAGTCCCTGTTGGAACTCACAACATTTTCATTGTTGCAATATGTCATATGTAAATGAATGGATATGATTATGTTTCAATAAAACTTTTTACCTAACTCAGGCAATGCCTGACATAGATCACAAGACATATAGTTGGCCAGCAGTATTATTAGTTAATTTCAATTCTTTAAATGTTGTTTCTGGGATAATGCAGCTGAGTTTAGACCTTTTTCAAACTCCACTTGTGGTTTTTTCCATATAGTTCTTTGCTTTGGCAATATTAGGAATTACATGTTGTAATGCATACAGTTAACATTTTTCATGTATTCATAAGTTTTTAAGAGTGACAGTTTTTCAGGATAATTAGGGCTCTACAAATTTTTTAATCTTTTAAAGACAAAAACAACTTTGTTATTTTGTTTTAAGACTACTCAATTAATAAGCAGAACAAACTTCTGAGCTTCAAAATTTATTCATAAAAATTTAAAGTGCATTCTCCCTATCCAGAAGTAAACTTGTTGAAATAAATGGAGATTTTTCTTTTAACAATTGCTGAATTTTTTTCCTTATTCCCACTGTCCCATGTAGTTGTTCTTTTATAATGCTAAAAAATTGGGTTCTGTGTTAAATATAAGGTTTAATTTTAAAACAAATTTAGAAAATATTTCAAATTACAAACATCTTTTAAACTTGAGTTTCTTATGTTATTGAAGTTGTTTATCAGTACCAAGTTTTGGGAACTCTTAGAGAAAATAAGAGTGTTAAAGTCCATTAATCTATTTCTCTAATTGAAATGAAATATATAGATGTACTCATATTTCAAATTCTGTGTTATTACTATTTACTATAAAATGTGTGTCTATAGCAAAAATATCATACTATAGAGGTAAAAATAAAATTATAATTTTCTTCTTATTCTTTTTACTGAGTACATGTATTTTAATTATTTTCCTCAGAATTGATTTAATGCTAGCAGAAAGCTAGGATTGTTTAATTGGACTTTTTCTTTAGAGTCTATACTAACCTTAGATAAGTCAAGCTAAATGTTAGATTATTTTTTATTATCAGATGTATTATTTATATTATGTATCTTAAGTTACTCTTCTTAGAAACCAGTGATACTTTATATCTATTTCAGGTGTCCTGTTACTAATTTATTTCTGTTTGGGTCTGTTTTAGATTATATTCAGTGTCCATATTGCCAGAGGAGATTCAATGAAAATGCAGCTGATAGACACATAAATTTCTGTAAAGAGCAGGCAGCACGTATTAGTAATAAGGGCAAATATTCTACTGATACCAAAGGCAAACCAGCTTCTCGGGCACAGGTGAAATATTCAACTTAAGTCATTTCTACAAATCAGTGAGAAAATGTCACTGTCATATATATATTTGTATGTTTATAGTGTCTTGATTTACAAACTTTTATACTTTTCTCATCTGCTAAAGTAGATACATTAATTCTAAGAAAGTTAATTAATGACTGATTGAGAAAAATTACTTAAATTAATCCACTTAAAATGTACTGGAATAAGCAGGAACTTTGTTGCACTAGCGTTAGTTTAACTAAAACTTAGAAATCTTCATGTTTTCTTTTTGTTTTTTTCTTTATGTTTTTAAATTTTATTTTATTGTAAAGATGCTGTACATAGGGGTTACAGTTACATGAGTAAGGCAGTGAGTACATTACTTGTTGGGCATTGTTACTCCTTCCTTTGTTCTCCCACTATCCCTTTTCTCCCCCACCTCCCACACTTTCCTCACTCCCCCCTCTTCCCTCCCCAGCCTGCAGTTGTAAAGTTCATTTCCAATATACTCTCTTGTGGATGTCATTGTTGCTATAGGTCATACTGTGTCATTGTTTCAACATGTTGTTATTCCCCTTTCTCTCCCCAGATTAGACAAATGTATATACAAGTTGAAGGGTACCAAAATCAAGTACAGGGACAACAGGGGATATAACATACAACACGGGGAAGAACATACAAAGGAAACAAAAACAAAAATCACATAGTACATTTAAGACAAGAACAACAAGGAAAGACCTCTTGTGTCCATATCTTGGGGTTTATTTCACTTAGCATCATCTAATATGATCATATGAACATAGCTTTTGAGTTTTTTCTGCTCATCTGATAAAATTATATATGTATACTAATTATTGCAAATGAGGGAGACCATGGAACCTAAATTTCTTTGGGACTGGTTTACTTCACTTAAAATGATATTTTGCCCAAGTCTTTCCATTTTCTAATAAATGGGGCAGTATCATTCTTTCTGATGGAAGCATAGAATTTCATTATATATATACATATATATACAAATATATATATACACATATATATCACAATCTTCATGTTGTAATTATTCTGTTTAAAATATTTTCTGATTTGTAATCCTTTTCATTTCATAGGGAATAATTTACTTCTAAAGAGTTGAGGGGTTCTAGGTATTTCATTGTTTATAATTCACTTGTCTGAGAACCTACAGGACAAAATTTCTACCTTTTAAGTTTTTTTATTGCTTATCATATGGTGTTTGTTTTTGAATATTACATGCTATCTGGAAAAAAGTTTTTGTTCTGCAGTTATTTGGTGCCAGATTTATAAACTCTCAGGTCAAAGTGTCTGGTACTAGCTACCTTTTCTTTTGGTTGACCCATCAGTTATTGTAAAGTTATGTGTTTAAATCTTCAGCTGTGATTGTGGCCTTTTCTGTACATTTATTTTTTTCACTTTTACATCTAATAATTTGATTTTTCTGTTAGTTTCTCTTCATACATATAATATATATTATGTATTCATACTTTATAATTTATAATTTCTATTTCATAAATATAAAATATAAATATGATGTTTAAATTTATATTTCATAAATAGAAAGTCTAAAAATAGTACAGTATTTATATTTGCATTATATATAATACTTTTTTCTCATTATCCTTTTCTGTATGTGGCCACATTCCTTTTATAAGAATATAACAATTTCAACTCAGGCTATTCTCTATTCCTTAAATACATTTTTGCATAATTTGGAGGCCAGCTTGTACTTGTATCTTATGTTTATTTCTTAAATATAATTTGACTGCCATTACCTATTCTCTTAAATGTTTAGCCCCTTATATTTAGAATATTTCTTTTTGTATGTGTGTGCCATAATAAGGCTTGAACTCAAGACCTGGGTACCCTAAGCTTTTTATGTTCAAGGCTCTACCTGTGCCACAGTGCCACTTCCAGCTTTTTTGGTAGTTTTATTGGAGATAAGTATTTCAGGCATTCATTTCCAGGTTGGTTTTGAAATGCAATCATCAGATCTTCGGTTTCTAAGTGTAGGATTAAAGGTGTGAGCCACCGGCTCCCAGCTACATTTAATGTAAGTTTTGATAAATTGTTTAGGTCTGCTATGCTCAATTTTTCAGCTTGTCAAATCCATATGTATAATTTTTTATTCTTGCACTATTTCTCTTGTTTTAATGAAAGATACTTTTTATTCTCTTTTAACTTCTTTTGTTATACTAGGCATAACATATATCTTTGATTTATTCGTTTTATGGCTATTTGTATTTACCTCTCATTGTCCTTAGTGCTAATACATGTGTAACTCTACATACACCAGAATACACATCAAGCGTATTGATGTCTGTTATCATGTAGTCTTTGTATTATTGCTTTACATATCATTTTTAAAGAAATGGGGAAGTTAATGTATTAGCACATCTATATATTGATGTATACATATACTTTAAGTTTGTACTGATGTATTCATTATTCTAGATTGATTCTTTCTTGCAATTCTTCCATGGCCCTTTGGGCTGAAGAAGTTTCTTGAGTTAATACAGCTATGCTGGCAGTGTTCTATTTCTGGTTTTCTAAAAATGCCTATATTTTGTCTTCATTTTTTTGATAAGATCCTCTTTTCTGTTGATTTACTGTTATCATATTTATTTTTATAAGCTTTTTGGACATAGTTATAGTAACTAGTTCCCTATTATTGTCAGATTTGTCTTTTCTTTAAAAGTAATATAATTATTATTTTGTAGTATCTCTCTGGTAATTGTAGTATTAGGTTATCAATTGTAGTATTAGGTTATCTTGTATGTTCCTGCAGCCATTTTTTCCCTTCTTTCTTAGTTTCTTAAGTATTTACTTCCATGACTATTATAAATTATTGCTATTCCCCTAAAAAAAAATACAGCTGGGCACCAGTGTCTCATGCCTGTAATCCTAGCTATTCAGGAGGCTGAGATATCAAGATCATGGTTCAAAGCCAGCCTGGGAAGGAAAAATCTGTGAGACTCTTATCTCCAATTAGCCACTAGAAAACTGGAAGTGGCACAGTGGCTCAAGTGGTAGAGTGCCCAACTTGACCTGAAGAGCTCAGAGACAGTGCCCAGGCCTAGAGATTAAGCCCCATGACCGACAAAAAAGAAAAAAAAAATACTTACAATGTGTTTACTCAGATGAAGTGCCTTCTCCCAGAGAAGTGTTTAACTTCCATATATCTAAGAGTACTATTAATCTAGACACGTTTTAATTTAAATTATTGGTTTTAGTTTGCACTAGAGCAAATCCACATACTGACCAGATGATTATAATCTCAAATGGGATTATCCCAACAATATCTTTTCTTCTAAGCAAACACTCAATGCTATAAAATGTTATTTTATATAAGTGTTATATTTTTAATACATTCCTGGGCATTTTTAGTTTTTTTGTTAGTGAATTAGTCAAATAGTCCATTCAACCATTTTGTCAAAAATACACTTTTTTCAGTTTCAGTAATTTTTTTATGAATGTAATAATTTTACTTTTATTTTTCCATTTGTCAGTAGTATTAACCATAGTCTTTAGTATTGACCATGGTATTAACCAAAATATTACATGCTTTTATAATGTATACCCATTCTTCTCCATAGTTCTCTTCTTATGAAAGTAAAATTCTATACCTGGAGAATGTGAGCTTGTCAGTTACTAGTTTGTAATTCATAATAAAAAAATGATACTGATTTTTTTTTAATTTTTGTTATTTCAGTATAAGCCTCCTGCACTTAAAAAGTCAAATTCTCCTGGAACCTTATCATCAGGATCATCGCGATTACCACAACCAAGTAGCACTAGCAAAACTGTTGTAGGTAATAAAATCCACAAAATAGGTGTTTTGGTTCCTTTTTAATTATATTGGTAGAAAAGGAAATGAAAACAATAGTCTATTTTGTTCCATTAAATTAGTTAGTTTACTAATTATGTAGAGATATAGATTGTTATTATTTCTAGATAGAAATGAAATAACTAAATATTTTCTATTTTTAGGTATTTTTTTCTTTAATGCCCTTCCTTGATGTTTTTACTGACATACTATCTGTTAAGAATATTCAAACAAATTATTTCATCATTCTTTGTCTATAATATTTTCCTTCATTCCTACCCTGGTTTCTCATTTTTGAACTTGAAAGCTGTTACCAATAGATATTTAATGGCTCTATGACTATATTGACCACTAAAATAGACCTTGTATGTAAATCATAAGATAGAAATTAGCATATCAATAAGCATCCTGTTCCCTTGTAACTTTTAAAGAAACCTTTTTTATTTGTTAATTTTTGAACATTACTAAATCACTGTTTCTCATGTCAAGTATTCTGCTTTATGTGATTTCATTTATTATTTTTAAAGCTGTTGCCTTTTTTATTGTAAGGTGTATCTTCAGGTAAAGTGTCATCAGTTAACAACTCTTTGGGAAACAAACTTCAGACCCTATCTCCTTCACATAAAGCAATATCAGCCCCTCAGGCAGGGTAAGTCTACATTGAATAATTTATTAATGGTACATATTTGACTGATGCATTTTATTTTCTCTGGCCTTTTCATGAATATTTTTATCTAAGTTCATTTTTTTAACATAATGCTATTCAAAGGCACCCTAATTCCTGTTGAGAGAATTTTAGTAGAGTTATTTTAAAGAAACACTCTGGCCAAAAGTTAGTTCCTATAACCCTAGATATTCAGAAGGCTGAGATCTCAGTTCAGAGCCATCTTGGGCAGAAAAATCTGTGAATCTCTTATCACCATTTAACCAATCAAGAAAAAAAAGTCAAAAGTAGGGCTATGGCCCAAGTGGAGGAGAGCACTAGCCTTAACCACAAAAGTTCAGGGTTAGCATGTAGGTCCTGAGTTCGAGCCCAAGGACTGCCTCCCCCTCAAAAGAAAAAAATCTGGTGGCTTTTATCAAGAACCATAAACTATTCATAATTTTGATTGAATAGTTTTTTTTTGATTGAGAATCTAAGGAAATAACTTGAAATATCATCATTTATTAAGCTCTCTGTTATCAGTTATTGTACTGGGCATGTTGCTTAAACTTGCTTCATAATTATAAAGTAACATTTAGAGAAGCAAAGTGATTTATTCAAGGCCACATAATTCTTTTATGTGTGTGTCTGTGTGTGTAATAAAAATACATAGGGGTTACAGTTACATGAGTAAGGTAATGAGTACATTTCTTTGTTACCCCCTCCTTTGTTTTTCCCCTACCATCCCTTTCCTCCCCAACTTCCCCTCTCTCCCCCCACCCCCCCAAGTTGTCAAGTTCATTTTTACCATAGTCTCTTGTACATCTCATTGTTACAACAAAATTCAGCATTTTGTTATTTTCTTTCCCCTCCCCAAATTAGAAAAATGCATATATAAGATATAGGGCACCAGAATCAAATACAGTGAAAACAGGAAAGAACATACAAAAGAAACCAAAAAAAATTACATAGTACATTATAAATACATTAAAAACAACAGCAAGAAAGATAAAACCACTCATGGCTTCTTAAGAGAAGCAATAGGCTAAGTAAGATCTATTTGATTCTAAAAATTTTATGCATACTTTTGTTATAATAAGATCAAATACCTGCATTTAATATAGTAAATTATGAAAATAGACAAGGCATATTTTACCACTGTAAAATATAAATCAATTTTAATAAAGATGATTTTGCTCTAGAAAGAGAAAAATATAAAGCTCCACATGGAGTTTTATATACTAACTGCATACTATAAACATACTATATACACATACTACTTAGTATATATACTTTAATAATGTATATTTTTATTAAATAGGTTAGATATTAAATAATGCACTGTATTTTCCCACAATAAAATGCATTATTTTAATACTTTGTTCTACAAGCACAGTTACAATGAACTCCTTTTAGTTCTTATTTCCTATGTGGTTTGTATTGGTAAACAAAATGTAGCTAATCTTGTTGGGCGCTTCACTCAGCTCTTCAGCTCAAGGCGAGCGCTCTACTGCTTGAGCCACAACGCCACTTCAGGTTTTCTAGTAGTTTTATTGGAGATAAGAGTCTCACGAACTTTCCTGCTGAGGCTGGTTTTGAACCGTGATCCTCATATCCCAGCCTCCTGAGTAGCTGGGAATACAGGTGTAAGCCACCGATGCCCAGCTGTGTTGGTCTTTATATATACTAGTATAATTGACTACAGAAAAATAGTCTGCATTTAAAAGAATATAGTCTATCTATGGCTCACATTAACTTTAGTTATTATGTAGGAAATATACACAAGGAGATTGCCAAATGAGATTCGCTACTTTTTGTTTACAAACCACATAGGAAATAAGAACTAAAAGGAGCTCATTGTAATTGTGCTTATAGAACAAAGACAAAAATAATAATTTCCAAGATCTGATGACTTAAGTGTTTTTTCTTATTGCTGTGCTTCCAAAAAAAGACACATTAATAGTATAACCAGGTAGTTGAAAATGAAAATAATCTCATTTTTCAGTGTTACAAACAATCTTGAGTTTTTTCTTCTTGACTTTTTTCTTCTCTATTTAGTTGGCTCATTTATGAGTTATGGGAAGTATACATATAGCATTTAATTTTATAGTCTTTTTTCCCCCAAATTAAAGAGAATTGCCCTCTGTTTTATAGTTTGTAGTGTTGTTAATTTACAGGTGATAATAAATTACAAAGTAATACTTTTCAGCACTACTGTCACACTGATAGTTCCATCAGTTGACAATATTAAGTTGTACTGATAACACTAGTTTTAAGTAGGACATGTGATCCTGGATGGTATCATGAAAAAAGGGAGCATACTGGTTTTAGAATTTTGAAAACTAGCTTCATGTATTCTGTGTCATATGTGTCTGGGGATGTATCTGTGTTTCAACTTTACCAAGTTCTTTGACTCTGCTTAGACCTCTACAAGTGATACAAGAGAATACAGAGATGGGGCTGGGAAGGTGGCTCAGTGGTAGAGCGCTTGCCTTGCATGCATGAAGTCCTGGGTTTACTTCCTCAGCACCACATAAGCAGAAAAAGCCAGAAGTAGCACTGTGGCTCAAGTGGTAGAGTGCCAGCCTTGAGCTGAAGAGCTGAGGGATAGCGCTCAGGTCCAGTATCCAGGCTCAAGTGGTAGAGTGCTAGCCTTGAGCTGAAGAGCTAAGGGATAGGCCCCACGACTGGCCAAAAAAAAGAGAGAGAGAGAGAGAGAGAATACAGAGACTGTTTAACATATACTTTTGTGAGTTGTTATATAATTATAATTCAGTCAGTTATCTCTGTTCATATTCTGATTATTCTATATAAGGTATTTCTAACTACTTTCTAAAGAAAGTAATGTTTGCTTCTGGTAAGTATGATCACTATATTAACTAGAATTATTAGAGCCATTCTTAACTGTCTATTTAAGGCATATATTATTCCTGTCTTACTGAAATAAAAATGAAACTTGTTGACATAAGGAGAAAGGACATTGATACATGGGATGAGATTTGATTGAAATACATGGTATACACATGTAAAATACATGGTAGAAATACCTCAATGAAATCCTTCCTTTCCCATAGTATAACTAACATGTGCTAATAAAGAAGAAAGCAGGATTGGGAAGTTGGTTTAGTGGTAGAGTGCTTGCCTCGCATACATGAAGCCCTGGGTTTGATTCCTCAACACCACATAAGCAGAAAAAAGCTGGAGGTGGCGCTGTTTCTCAAGTGGTAGGGCACTAGCCTTGAGCTGTGAGGGACAGCACTAGTCCCAGAGTTCAGCCCCCACGGCCAACGAAGAAGGAGAAGAATTGTTGAATTAATAATTTGTTTGTTTCCATTTGATAGACTATACTAAGATCCATGACAGAGACTAAAGTGCCTGACACATGAATATATTGTGAACTTTTAGCAAATAGAAAAATGATCTAGTACATTTCTCAAATTTATCCTGTTACCAAACCATTGTGGGCCTGCTGGAAGTAGAAGAACATTTGAAGTTTGTGTGGCACCCATTTTTTTCATTTACACAATTGATTCAGGTCTTCAGTGTGGTCCATTTTAATCAGGTACACTGCTGATCTGTAATAATTAACCTGTATTGGAGTCATGACACAGGAAAAGTAATCTTAGTATTTGGATACTGTCTCATATTTTGGTAATTAAATTGTAGACAATCAGTGAGCCAAAGTTAGTAGACTTCTTTTAAGAGGAAAACACACCTAAAGGAGAAATTTCCCCTTATTATAAAAGATAATATTCTTTAATTGTGGGAAAAAATTGTAAACTGTGAAAAACTAAATTTTTAAATATTACCACATTTGAAGTATGTCAAAATTCACACACTTGTGTCTTGAGAACTTTCTTTTCATAATTACAAATTTAATTTATATCTCAAATCATAGATTTCAATAGCTAAAAGGTCACGTTTCAGATTTGCGTTTCTTCCCTTAATGTGAAAAAAGTACATTTACTTTGAAGATTAACTATAGCCAATGAATTGAAATGAGTAAAAATTATTGAAGATGTTTGTATCAGGGAGTTAACTTTGTCATAGGACTGAGATACTAAGTTATCTGTGATGGGTTAATACAATCAAAAGTAGGTATCTGACACATTTCAACATTTTGAATATGTCAGAGTGATACAACTACAAAGGTTCAAAAGATACAATTGGTAAATGTTCTCTCCATGATGATTTTGTGAATAATCATTTAAGTATATATAGTTTTACTCTCCTTGATACAGTCTAATTTTTAGCAGATCAGAGTATGTATGACATATTTCCTAAGATAACTCATTCTTGATAACTCTCATAGATTAAACTCTATTTCTATTTTTTTTGTCAGTCGTGGGGCTTGAATTCATCACTTGTGTGCTGTCATTGAGCTTTTGTGTTTTTGTGCTCAAGGATACCATTACCACTCTACCACTTTAAGCCATGCTCCACTTCGTAGTCTGTTTCAGATCAGGAATAGGTTGATAGCATTGCCAAATCATTCTTCTTTTCTTTTTTATTGTGAGAATACCCTACAGAGGAGTTAAAATTACATGGGCAAGATAACAAGTACATTTCTTATCAAGCATTGTTGCCTCCTCTTTGTTTCCCCTTCCCATCCCTTCCCATATAATTCAGCAATGACTATTTTAAAATCTGTGGAAGTATTGTATAAAATTTTTATTTTCATTGAGATTTATAAGCTTTGTTTTTTGAGATCTATAAGTTTTGGTTTTGATATATAGCAGGAGATTGTAGCAGAACATGAATTTTAAGTGATTTTAGCCCTGGGCTAACATTTAACCTAAGAAACATTTGAATTGTATAGGACTGGAGGTGTGGCTCAGCATTCCAGCCTCATATGCAGGAGGCCTTCAATTGAAATTTCAGTATTATCATCACAAAAAAGAAAAATCAAACATTTGAATTGTGTATATACACAGTAATACATAGAATCATTATGCATGCACTTACATTGAATTTCTTAACCCAACTTTGAGGTACAGATTATAGTT